ATATCTAACGTATTTTCTAATATCTAGAATTCGAATAAGTTACATTAATAGTACCTTTCAGTATAGGTATTCAATGAATGATTCCAACGAGATAGGCACACAAAATCACAGTGTTAGCTACACAGCTGTCACAGCTACGATACTCAGCTATTTATTGAGGTTGTATTATCCATGGTGTAAGAATACACCATGTATGTATTCTTACACCATGGTATTATCTATCTTTCCAAAATGCCAATATTATATGTTCACTTTGTGATTGATGACCACAATACTTTTGACAGTAATAGAAAAAATACAAAAAAGTGAATGTATTACTAGCATTAATAAATATATTGTACAAATTAATATTTTAATCAACATTTCATTTTTTTCCTTTTATTTCAACATTATTTTATCAAAAAATGTATTTCCATTATACTTATCTGACCAAATTTGTCTACAATTGTTTATCTTTATAACTACTTATTATCCATTTCATTAATAAAAATTGACATAACTTAACAGAAAAATGAGTTTCTCAAACTTTAAGTTTTACTTTTAATTAAAAGATTGGTTTTCATTTTCAGTTAATTATTGCAATAATAATTAGATATGTCAACAATTTTATAAAAAATTAATAAAATAGTGTAACATATAGTTTTTTCATCTCAAAAAGTATTTTAATTTTAATTGACAGTAACGTAGACTCAGCTGTCAGTAATATGATCTTTCACCCTATTTAGAAATTTCTAGAATTTTAAAATTCCAAAGCTCGAAAAAAAAACAAAAATCTAAAATTAGGAATCTACTTTTTTAAACGATCATACTTACATATTTTACATTTTTGACAAAAGTTTCGATCTAAGATTTTCTTATTTCAAAATTACGCTACATAATACAAGACTGAAGAGATTTCATGTTTCTTACAGGTTATAGTTTGAAAGCGTATTTTTTCGGAATATATACACGCGCGCGCATAAGATGGCAGTTTATTTTCTACGCAAAGACAGGTAGCGCATAGAAAAACCTAGTCTCCGAAAGCGAATCTGATCGCACCCTCTTACAAAAAGTATCCCTCTCCCCTTCGCCATTCTCTCCTCGAGTTTGGTATCGCGTACCGGTATTTTTATGCGTCACGTCGCATAAATATACATGCTGCCACACAAAGGGTTTCACAATGACTCGATCAAGGCGGAACGAGTGAGCCGCGTAAGGACAAAAGCGAGGAAGGAAAAAGAACGGATCGCAATAAGAAGTAAAGTCGGTCCTGCGTTCACCCGTCCGTCCGTTTGTTCGTTTCTTCTATCCGCGAGTTGTCTGTCAAGCCGCTTCGGAAATGCTCCGACGAGGCTTGTATACGGGAGCGGGCGAGAAGGGTGGGATGCGCCGTTTCCTACTCCGTCTTTTTCTGGTCATTCCCGGAGGAGAAGAATGCGAAATAATGAACGAACCGGTCCGCTCAGATTTCTTCTTCGTCGGCGTCGCACTCCCTCCCTTTCGCTCCTCCGGGCTCAAGATAACAGAGGCGAGATCTGAGATTACAAAAACAAAAAAAAACTGATTACCCGTATGGAACGTAATTTCGATTGATTTGATTCTCAGTTCCGTATGAAAGAGCTAAGACTTCTTCGCGTTTCTATTATAAAATTATAAGTCTATATGTATATTCGTATGTGAGGAAAACGACAAAGAATTATTTTTTTCTGGTTATAACTTCGCGAAAACATCGATCTCTTGTCGTAATCATATTTATTTCATATTCCGATTACAATTAGGTTTTTTTTAGGAAGGAATTTTATCCATTTCGAGTCTTGCGTTTTAAGATAGAGTTAAACCTCGATAATTCGAATTTCAAGGGAAGAGAAAAACCCTTCGATTTATACAGTTTTCGATTTATCGAAATTCGAGTAAAAAGAGGGTTAAAATATGAAAATTCGACTTACGGAGGCTTTGTATGAGAACTTATAATTTTCCGATTATAATGACTTTTAAAGGAAAAAAAATCAATATTTGACTGTGAATTATTTATTGTATAAATATGTATAATAGATGTAATCTTAAAACAAAATACCAGGCTATTACTCATGGTTACACACATGGTTACATAGCTACAACTTCGAATTAGAGAGGCAGCGACAATAGTTCGACTTATAGAGTGAACTTCGACTTGTAGAGGTCTGGCTACTTTAAATTCGAGTTGCAGAGGTAAAATAATACATCTAAATATCCGACAAATAATTCGAGTTAAGGTAGGGTTTGTTTCGATTTATAGAGGTTTTCCGCACTGGAGCGTAAGGGAATGAACAAAATTTTCGTCTTATAGAGGTTTCCGAGTTATTGAGGTTCGAGTATTGAGTTCGACTGTATCCGTTATTTTTTTTCTTTTGTAACAAATACAGATTTTTATAAAATCGGAACGTTAATTAGCTTCTTTATATGTCATTAATGTCATAGGGGAATTAAGATCACGTCGAATGACTTCCTCGCCATATCGATTATCGTTTCGTCAGTCGCACGCGTAGAGGTAGAGAAATGAAAACAATTGTACGCGATCTCCGGATGAGAAGTCTCTTTCTCTTTCTCTCTGTCCGGTTGCTCTTGGCCGGTCTACCTTGATACCTCGGTGAGAAGAGAACCTGGAGAGAAGGGCGCGATGCAAGGCGAGATGAAGGGCTCTGTCGTTACGGGTTACCACGTAATTTCATGAGGCTATAATTTGGGGAGCGCCGTGGAGGAGAAGAACGTCGGGCACCGCTCGTAATGAGCGAATCTAGAGGGGAAGGGAAGAAGGGCAGGAGGTAGAGGAGAACGGCCTCGGTGGGCCCCAGCAACGTACGGGAGGGGTCCATCGGGATTGAGGCGGGAAGAATGGGCGGGATAATTACCCCTGATGCCCACCGCTCGTTATATTTCATGGAAGTGAGGCGTCTCCTCTCCGCCTGCTTAGGTGCATTACCCTCTCACTCTCCCGTTCTGGACCCCGCTCCGCGTTTAGAGGACGGAGAAACGTCATACAAATTTACCTCAAATGTTGAAACATCACATAAAGAAAATATATTATAATAAAGTACAATATGCCGGAACTTCCTCTTTTGTCAAATATTTTGCCTGATCTGCAATTTGGAACAATGTAAATCCGAAAATCAATTAACAATCAAGTATTTATTAACGACTAGATCAGACGCTGATCGAACTATGCACAGAAGTTTCTGGGGAACGAATTTACGGAATAATTATACACACTTGCCATCACCTGATTCTAATAACACGTGCATTCGCAGCTAGCGGCTTTCATGCCATTGGTCCACTACAACTGTTCAAGACATCTCAGACTCTTCTTGTGCGCCGTCTTTGCCCCAGTCTGTTCGGAACATGTGGCCATACCAGCCTGCAAGTCCCTTTGCCTTTCCGTAAGAAGAGACTGCGAGCCAGCCTTAACCAGCCTCACGTTGCCGTGGCCGCACATGCTCGATTGTGAACGCTTCCTCGATCGCGGTAAGCATACGCTCAGCTTTGAATTGTTTTATATGTTATCAAGATCTTAGCAAGCAAAAGTCAGCAGATTTCAACAGAAAATACAACAAAATATCAGCTATGTCCGCATTAAGGCTTGTGCTCTGTTGACATCAGAATTTGCGAACGTAATAATGATGGCATATTGATTTTAGAAATAGTATCTGCGTTTAACGCAGGTTTTATTTGCAGATATTATACCGCTGATTCAGTAAGCGAAATATTAACATGTTAGCAGTTTATTAACTAGATTTATTAAAGATTTGAATCAATGTGGATCTGAAGCTCAACTTTATAAAAAATAAAATTATTTATAAAATTTATCAAATTTATTAATACTTTTCTGTATGTATGTATTAAATTTATTAATACTTTTCTGTTTGTATGTATTATAATACTCTTTAATTATTTACCAATAGGTAGAAAAAATATAGGGTATAAGTTATTTGAAAGAGAATTGTTTGCACCTGTATTTATACCTTTTTTGATTTTGTTTATTTTTCAAAGAGCTCAAAACACCACAACGGTTTTATATTTCTTTTGAAAACGTTTAAAAAATAATACCTTGAATAAACTTGACATAATGTTGCATTATGGGTCAATCTCATTGAGAAGACCCTAAAATTACACGATTGAAACTGAAAATTCAAAGAAAAATATTATACCCATTTTGAAAAAACTTTATATATTGTAAGTTAAAGTAATTTTAACAAATAAAAATTGTCCAAAAACAAATATGAGATCATACAAATTGTCAAATATTTGATTATACATAGAAACAAAAATGATTTTTAACCGCTTAACCATCCAAAAGTATAATATATGCAGCAAAAGTTTAATGCCATTGTCTTTCCAAATATTTTTAAGATTCATAAAACAGGCTTAAAGTGACTATTTTGACCAATGGGATGCCCGTTTTTTATATACATCTTATCAATTAAATTATTAATACAATTCGAGCACGCCAAGTTTTTACTTCATTTTGATCCCATTGGTCAAAATAGTTACTTAGTAGATTTTGATTGGACGAGGAGAACATTATAACGAGGTGACATTATTAATCGCTCCTGAAACGATCAAACTCGTATCGTCTGAAAACGTTATTAAAAAGTTATTATTAGAGGTCTTACTATTTTTTAACAAACTTTTAAATTATTAAAATAAAATATAAAATATATATTTGATTTTATAATTTACTTGTTAAAAAATATTTTTGATTAAGAAAAAATGTAGCATACATTTTTTTTTATGTAGCGTAAATAGTTTTTCTTTTTTTAAAAAATGTTTTTGTTTAAGTTAACAATTACTACAGAAACAGATCTCAGATATCGTCGTTAAATAACGCGTTATATACAACCCACACAGCACGCGGAACTCCCAGGAAGCTCCCAAGGAGCTCATCTAATATTTTGTAAGCTTCATTTGAACTTAAAAAAAAAACTCGCACAGAACTTCTCGGGAGCTCCTATGTTCGCTTTTGGGAGCTCCTTGAGAGCTTCATTTAAGTTCGCAGGGAGCTTTATTTAAGCTTACAGGGAGCTCAGAAATTATGTTTTGGGAGCTCTTTGCAAGCTTCAAAATAGTTTCCGGGAAGCTTTTATATAAGCTCCCCGGGAGTTCCTATGTCCGTTTTTGAGAGCTCCTTGAGAGCTTCATTTAAGTTTGTAGGAAGCTTTTTTTATGCTTGCAGAAAGCGCAGAAATCATGTTTTGGAAGCTCCGTGCAAGCATTACAATAGTTTTCGTGAAGCTTTCATGTATAAAGCTCCCCGGAAGCTCGTACGTTTACTAGTGCAAGCTCTCTGGAAGAAACGAAATAGTTCGCATAAAGTTTATTTGTACCAGCAGGAGTTCAGAAATCGTGTTTTGAGAGCTTCCTGTAAACAAGAAATTAGTTTATGCCAAGCTCGCCAAGAGCTTCTCAATCCGCTTTCGTGTGATTCCTATTTGTACTATATGTATATACATATAAAATGGATAGTGTGAGAGATTTAGAACCTTTTCCGATTTATTAGTATTAAATAATAATTACAAGTGGATTATCGATATTTTTACCCGATTATTAAATAATAGATTTTAAACAATTGCAAAAATTCAGTTTGATTTCTAAGTCTTAATTAACAAACAAATCTTAGATATTGTCGTTAATTTATTAGATGTTGTGTAAATAAATGGATAATGCGAGAGATTTAGATAATTCTATTTAATTTATTAGTGTTAAATAACAATTACGAAAAAATGGATCGATATCTTTAGCCGATTGTTAAATAATGGATTTTAAACAATTGCAATAGTTTAGACCGATTTCTGAGTCCTAATTAACAATTGCTGCATAGATAGATCTTAGATATCATCGTTAACTTGTTAAATATCGCGTTATAAACAAATGGATAGT